AGGGGCGTATCATTTCCGTCTCACGCTTGAGGTATTCGGCCAATCACAACGCACTGAATAGCTGGCCAATCAGAGCACACCTCGCTTTTCAGACCGATGAGCTTTGTAAAAATCGACGCGTTTCAGAAAGGCGGGGCATAGAGGAGAAACAATAATGTACAGTATGTGGAAAATAATGTGTTTTTTTAACCTTAAACCGCATTTCATTACACCAAATACACAAAATAATGTTCTTTTTTAGCAACGTTATATGACCCCTTTAATGTATTTAACTGTGCATTTTGTTGTTGTTATTGTTATTATAATAATAGTAATGAAGTGTTATTTATGTTTTTCTTGTTTGTATGTATTTGTACAAGTAGTTCCATTATTGGACAGGGCACGTTTGCTGGGAGTTTTACCTGACTGTATCTATAACCCCAGCTACAGCATAAAGGGATATCCTTTAATGCGCTACCAGGGCCTGCAGTTTGTAAGTGCTTACACACACATACATAGCTAGAAAACTTAAGAGAAATTATTTTTTATTGCATTCCTTTATAAAGCACAGAATGTTGTTGTGCATATGCTTGCATGATCTCGATCAATCTAATTTGTTGCAGGTGCACCTGACGTACGTGTATCCTAATGACTACACACGGCTCACACACATGGAGAACGATAACAAATGTTTCTACCATGGGAATCCATATTACCTGGAAAGGTAGACGCACAAATACAGTACACTACCATTCATATGTCTGGGGTTGGTACGTTTTTTCGAAAGTCTCTTATGCTCACCAAGGCTGTATTTATTTGATTAAAAAAATATAGTAAAAACAGTGATATTGTGAAATATTAATACAATTAAAATAGCTGTTTTCTATTTGAATGTATTTTGAAATCTCATTTATTCCTGTGATGCAAAGCTGAATGTCCAGCAGCCATTTCTCCAGTCTTTAGTCACATGATCCTTCAGTAATGTTTATAATATGCTGCTTTATTTGAACATCATTTGAAATAGAAATGTTTACTGTCACATTTGATCATCAATTTAATGCATTCTTGCTGAATCAAAGTATGAATTTCTTTATAAAAAAATCTTACTGACCCCAAATTTTTTGAATGGTCGTGTACAGTCAATCTAGTTCTCTTTAGCCTTGTTCCGACTGTCAGTCCTAATCCTATTTTATTGTACATATCCGAATAGAATCTGATCATATTTAGCAAGTCTGAACGACAAAAAATCACCTGAAATCTGATTTTTAGAAATCTGTTTCAAGCCACATTTATATGTGGTTTGAAATCCTATTCAAACCGCATTTCTGGAAATCCGTTTCAGTCTGACCGCTCAGATCGGATTTAGCATAGCTTTTTTGCCTATGTCTGTTTCTCACACCACGTAAAATGTAAATACGTCAGATGTTGTTTGTAGAAAACATGCTTAATGTCTTTGCAGAAACAAGGCTGTGTTGTCGCGAAGTGCAAGTCAGGCAGAAAATGACCGTATACTGCTGGTCTATGCACCTCTTTGAGTTTTGAGACCAGACGGCAGCACGGAAAAAAGCCGTGCTTCCTACGTTTCTGACGCTGCCTCATAAGACGCAATATAATCCAGCACGACGGCAACATGTTGTCACGATGTAAGACAACATCTGTATTGCAAACTGTAATGCTGTTATTGTTGTTTTTGGCGTATGCATACCAACGCAACGTCATTGCCATAGAAACCAATGCAGATAGTTAGTAAAACGAAAAAGCACCACGGACACTCAAATCCGGTCTGAACAGACATGATACACAGTGTGGACAGTCAAAAGTTTAAATCAGATTCCAATTGGATATGCACAAAAATCGGATTTGGACCGACAATCTGAACAAGGCCTTTAGTGATGATTTTTAGTGATGACTTTAGTGGCCATTATGATATCAAATCAATTCATTTCTTTTTAGATACGGCTTCTCAAACTACATTCAACTGGATTTGCCTGAAAATGAGGAGTTAGTCATCAAATACAAAGGTACAGCAAACAATGAATGCTTTTGTGGTGTCTTTAAATTTAAAGACAACATTCGCATTGCATTTAACTTCCTTAAAGGGATAGTTCACCCAAAAATGAAAATTTGATGTTTATCTGCTTACCCCCAGGGCATCCAAGATGTAGGTGACTTTGTTTCTTCAGTAGAACACAAACGGAGATTTTTAACTCAAACCGTTGCTGTCTATCAGTCATATAATGGAAGTGAATGGGAATCACGGCTTTGAGAATAAAAACACAAACAACACAAACAAAACCAAATTAAACCCTGCGGCTCGTGACGATACATTGATGTGTAAAGACACGGTCTGTGCAAAAAACTGAACAGTATTTATATCGTTTTTTACCTCTGATTCACTGCA